GTAACATCCAACATTACTTTAAATTTACTATCTGATGTTCGGTTCTTCACTATCTTTACATGAAAGAAGTAACATCCAACATTACTTTAAATTTACTATCTGATGTTCTGTTCTTCACTATCTTTACATGAAAGAAGTAACATCCAACATTACTTTAAATTTACTATCTGATGTTCTGTTCTTCACTATCTTTACATGAAAGAAGTAACATCCAACATTAATTTAAATTTACTATCTGATGTTCTGTTCTTCACTATCTTTACATGAAAGAAGTAACATCCAACATTACTTTAAATTTACTATCTGATGTTCTGTTCTTCACTATCTTTACATGAAAGAAGTAACATCCAACATTACTTTAAATTTACTATCTGATGTTCTGTTCTTCATTATCTTTACATGAAAGAAGTAACATCCAACATTACTTTAAATTTACTATCTGATGTTCTGTTCTTCACTATCTTTACATGAAAGAAGTAACATCCAACATTACTTTAAATTTACTATCTGGATGGTTCCTATCTTTACAGTAACATCCAACTGTAAATTTTATCTGATGTTCTGTTCTGATGAAAGAGTAACATCCAACATTATTTAAATTTACTATCTGATGTTCTTCACTATCTTTACATGAAAGAAGTAACATCCAACATTACTTTAAATTTACTATCTGATGTTCTGTTCTTCACTATCTTTACATGAAAGAAGTAACATCCAACATTACTTTAAATTTACTATCTGATGTTCTGTTCTTCACTATCTTTACATGAAAGAAGTAAAACATCCAACATTACTTTAAATTTACTATCTGATGTTCTGTTCTTCACTATCTTTACATGAAAGAAGTAACATCCAACATTACTTTAAATTTACTATCTTTACTTATCAAACTTATCATTTCAACATATTTCAACATTTTGAAAGATGTAACTCTGCAGCGTTGGAATCTGGATGATTCTGATCCCAAACTGAGGTCGGCACGACAGCAAGATCCACTGAACGCGCAAGCAGCAAACCGATGAAGGATTCACCAGGCGTCTTTGACACTTTTGCTTTCAAGGCCTGATGAAAACCAATTTTCAGCCAATCAAAAACTGGAAAATCACACCAGGAATGCAGGTTTTCCAATGGCTTCCATGTAAATGACTGGTTTTAAGAGTTTTTTGGGTTTCATCATGTTTCACTTCTGCAATCCCGTATCATCAAATTCGTCGACCTATGAGGCACCCTTTTTGTGAAAAGCTCTGTGATGCCATGCCAACAACGAAGAATCCGATCGTCCTGTGATATTTGTCTATCATTGTCTACTTGGTGGCTCATCCCACTGCTCGTAAGTGGGTTATAACCCCAGTTATAAATGGGATTTTTGTAGGGTTAATCCACTGAAATCACTGGGTTTTTTTCACCCACTTTCGAGCCGTGGGATGAGCCACCAAGTATCCTGTTTCTCAACTGCACCTCCGTTTGTTGTTCTGAGTCTCAAACAGCAGCAAGCGCTGTCACGCGCGCCCCGAACTCTTCGTAAGTCCAGGTTTGGTCCTCGAGACATCTCGAGACATCTCGAGACAGGCGCAACTTGATGCGATGAACATCACGCGTACTGCATGACATATATGACATGCTTGGAATCCAGTGTCTTCACATGAGCTGTGTTTTTTTTGTTGTCTGGGTCCGTCTACTCCTGTGCTGCCTACGCCACTGTCTACGCAATGCCTACGCGGCCACAGTGGGAGCCTACGCGGCTCATCCCTTTGAAGGTGTGCCTACGCAGGCCCAACGCCCGCATAAAGCGACGCCACAATGTATGTTTTTGCCTACGCCGTCACACTTCTGTTTGCTTTTGGAAGGTTGGAAACGGAACTTTTGCCTACGCGACCACAGTCCCATTCACATTTTTGCAGCACGAGCGCCCAGGCTCCAAAGCGCCCATAGACATCTTGCAGCCACACCCATGTGCAGCAGCCGCACCAGCAACCAGGTCCCAAAGCGCACACTAAACATCTGGTGGATAAATCATGATAAATCACTGAAGACTCAGCTAGTAACTTTTGACTATGCTGGAGTCAAGCCAAGCGACGTGTTCGACTGTCGCTAGCTTGGTGAATGGCAGCTCTGGGCGGTTCAATGTGTCGAATATGGACTGGTGCGGACGTGGGCTGGTGGTCAGTCCGGGCACCCGAGCCTACGCGGTGCCTACCCGAAGTCTACGCGAAGCCTACGCCTGTTCCAGGGGCCTCCTGGCAGGAATCTGGTGAAACATTCCTCTTAAGCAAGAGCTAATATGGCCCATCTAGCAACAAGCAGGTGGAAAGCGAAGAACATCAAGACGGTTTAAGCTGCTCTGCTGCCTTTGTATAGCTGCTCTTCCGGGCAAGTTCCACGGTTTGTTCGTATAGACAACTATCCATGAATGAACCCGGTGCCTTTGAACCTTTTGTGGATAACATTGAATCAATTTTAAAGCGTGAGATTCCAACGCCGATCATGTACGAGCATTTGAAATACAATGAAATGTTGCCTACGCAAACCAGAAGATATTTGGAACCTTGAAAAATGCCTACGCCAATCCTACGCAATCCTTACGCCAGCCAGGTAAAACCACACCAAAAGCAACATCCAGTTTACACTCTATATAAACCCTTTTATATTAAAAAAAAACGTAGCTCACATGTATACTTAGCTACTTAGAAACCAAGTTGTTCCATCATTTTTTTCCATCCTTTTCCAACCTGTGCCGTGGCCGTGTGCTGTTGGCGAATTTTAAGAACGAGACATCGACGATGGCAGGCTGTTGGCGACACTGAAGAATCTGGAGCTGGAAGGCCTGGCTGTGGCAACTGCCTGGTGCGGTTTGATGATTATCATATATTATCATTTACTTCATTTAAGCTGTTTATGGCTGTTTATGGCTGTTTATGGCTGTTTATTGCTATTTATTGATGTTTCATGGTTACTAATTACCATCTGTTCAGGGATATTAGATGTTATTAGTTAGTTACTAGTTACCATTGGTGGCATCCTTTAAGCCTGTTGAAATTCGTTCAAAACTTGGCTCTGAGACCGTTCCTGGATGTTCCTGGCCTTGACCAAGGGTGTGGGCGACACCGAGGGCTTGTTGTGGCGGCCCCATTCCAAGATGCGCGTTCGCTCATTGGTGGATGTGACCTCATGCAGGACAAAATAACGAGAGGAAGTCACAGAACCACATTTGGGGGCATGATTTGCGGCATCAAAACCAGCTTGGAGATGTCTCAAGCGTTTCCTTACGCTATGTCATAGTCTTCAAGTACCTCACGGAAATATACGGAAATCACTTCAGAATCTCCTCAAAAAGCAAGGAACAGGTAAGCACAAGGCTCCGGCATTCTTACTACAATGTTGACAAACACATTGCAATACTCTGAAGTTCCCATTTGCACAATTATATCATATCAATTATCAATTATCAACTGGATGTTACGAAATCTGATAGTTTGGCCCTCACAGTCCCGGACAGAAGCTCTGCTGTGGGTTGTTCTGCAACTGCCATTGCCAATGCCTAACATCACTAAATCAGAGGCACATTTCGACATTTCGCATGTTTCTTATTCTTTCTTTACTTTGGTTTCTGACGCTTCATTCATCTTGATTCAATAATTTAATTGTATTAATATATATTATATTATGATTTCATCACTCGAGATTAAAGATTGTGTCACATCACATACTCGAAAATTCGACGATGTCCTCATCTACCAAACTTCTCATCACATTTCTCACGACTCCTTACATCACTTATGTATACTTGTCTCACTTCTCCATGGTTTTCCGGTGGTTTTCCCACACCTGGAAGGCTTGTGCGAAACGCTCCGCACGTGCGATATTCCACAGGTGTCGGTTGTAGACCTGGCGCATTTTCGCAACTTTTCCCATGGAACTCCCATGGATTTCATCCCCAAAAAACCGCCAGCAGGGCGATGTATCCCTGTAATCCTCCACTGGTGCCGGGCATCTCCTGGGCAGAAATTTTGGAAAAAAAAGTGACACTTTTAATGTGAGAAATGCCTTTTGAAGAGCTGGGAAATAATATGTTGAACTATAATGTAACATCATGTTTCATCATGGATACTGACCACCACTGAATTTCTCAGTTTCAGTTTCTGGAAAACTGTTAGCCGTCCATTGCTGCCAGGCTTGGCCAACCTTGCCTGCATCTCACAGGTAATGTCGAACAAAGCTGCGGTACGTTCAAGCTCCACTTGCTCCACACGCAAACCCTGACAGATCTGCCACAAAGCCGACATATGAAGAAACACAAGGCACACAGCTGACCTGCTTTGATGCGAGAAACACAAGGCACACATCTAAAAACACACAGCTAAGACTAAGATGAACCATGGACCTTCATTCAAGTTCATTGGGCACAACTTTTAGTTCTAAACCTGTGCCTCCATGCTCCAAGAAATTTCATCTTTGTCCTTGCACGACATCGGATGAAACGGCACCCTAGGACCGTGCGAATGCGTCACAACATGTCGATTCAAGATATGCCAGGCGTCAACTTGCATCAACTTCAGACTTTGAAGCCAAGAAAAGTCACTTTTTTGGAGTTTCCTTTATGGTAAGGCACAACATCTCTCAAAATCATGAGCTCCTGCAGGACAAACATTGCTGGAATGGCAGCAGCATCCAGTTCCGCTGCCTGAATCATGGATTGAGATGGACGAGATGATAGGAGCAAGCCTCAAGACCTATTGAAGACGGGAGATTGATAAGATCATGAGAGAGCATAACTTTAGTGTAATTTGTGTAAGTTTTGTGGCATTTTTCGTGGCATTTTTTCTGATGTTTTCACTGGAAAATCCTGTGGCTCAGTGTCGTGAGTAGATTTCACTGCGCACCTCAAGGACCACGGCATACGGGACCTGAAGACTTCCCAATGACTTCCCCTATGACTCCAAACCCTTCAAGTGCACACTGAAAATATCATGAAAACGTCACAATGACAGCATGACAAGATGACACTGATTCGAAAGTGCTTGAGAACTGCTTCGGAAAGAGCTGTGAAACTGTCCACTGGGCTTGGCTCCCAGGCTGATGAGTGCTTAAAGGCTCCCAGCACTGTGTCCCGTAGGCGTTGCAGCAGATCCTATGGGAGCCAATTTTCTATTTGTTGTTTCAGAGTTTCTTTGGCTACTCAGTGATACATGTGAGCTATGTGATACTAAGTATATGTTCTGAATTTTCGTCATGGGATTGCAATAATTGATGCGATGCAATCACCAAGTTTGTTTAGGGCCCCAAAATATCCCCCAGCCATCTGATTGCCATGGCTCCTCAAAGGAACCACCCAGCATGGCCACTCGGAAGATGACGGTGTTCCTGGTGATGTCTGTGGTCGTGGGATGGAGATCGGACATAGACCCCCAAAATTGTCGATTGAATTTTTATAGGACCAACGTGATGATACACATGATATAAACTGATAAACCACTGTAAACCAATATAATCATTTTTTAATGAGGGGCAAGCCAATAATAACCCTTTTTCAATGAGAGGATTTCAGGGTCTCCTAGTTTCCAACCGAAACACGACCGATACGATACCCGATCAGCACGACTTTTTATCAAGCTGAGGGATCAGCACAAAGTAACCGATCAGCGGCTCAACAGCAGGCCTGACAGTGGGCAAGACATCTGTTGGAATCGGTTGTATTTGAGTGGTATATTACGGTGGTATATCTGTTGCGTTCTGTTGAATCTTCCAGAAAACTCTACAGTTAGTTCCATGATATTCCATGTTCCATTCCAGAAAACAATAAACAGATATATAGACAGTTAGTTTCATGTTCCAACATTTCCAACTTTTCTCAGAGGATCCAACCATGGAGGATGTACCATGGTTCGATAGAGATTTACCATATGGTTTTTCTCATTATTTACCATGGATTTACCATCAACATGAGGATCAACATCCTGGTTTTTCTCATGAATCTGCCATAGATTCTGAGGATCTCACCCATTGCGATTGGCCACCGGTGAAGCAATGGCTAAATCCATGGCACCACCATAGCGACCCAGGACCAAGGCGAAGATTCCCAGAAGAACCGAAAACAAAGTGGCACCTGGCTGTCACTTGAATGTCACTTGAATGTGTCACTTGAATGTCACTTGAATGAATGGTGAATGAATGGTGAAATTTGGATAGAAAAATATATAACTGTGCCTTCAACATCCAACAATTTCATGTAAATGGATAGAGATGGTATGAAATAGATGGTAAATAGTCATCCACTATCCACCTCTTATCTTCCAACGGTGGAGAATCGATATGGCACCTTTGGAAACTTCCGTTGGGTAACCGCACCTTTGGCTCGGGCCAAGCTCCGAAGGCGGTTGGCCAATGCTGGCTGGAGTTGAAAAGGCACCTGGATAAAATCAGCTGCAACATCAGCTGGCTGTTTGGAGAACATAAATGGAGAACATCAATAGTCTGTCATGTTGGTCAATGGAACTGCAGAGATGTTGAGATACACAGCAAAGATTCCAACCCATTGGAACCATTGGAATTCTGTTGCAATAAACCGCCATGGAACATATGTTTCTTTTTTTGGGGGGGTGCACCTGACCACCATCCAAGGGTAGTGTTGCTGGCCGCGCATAGTCTGTAGGCACCTGCGGTTCGCCGACTCATTTCCAGAGAGCTGAGATGTCCAGCAAAGTCAGCAAATGCCAGGTGAAAATATGGTGAAATGCTGTAGGATGTTAGTTGAGATAGTATGGGATAGTAGTCTGAGATAGTATGGGATAGTAGTCTGAGCGCCTGCAACGCTGGCAAACCTTGCAGTTGAACTCGCCAATATTCCAGTTCCTTCTCCATGCGCCCCTGCGTCGTGGAAACACATCGAAAGAGCTTTGAGGATTCTGAAATTTCTGAATGAAAGAGAATGACATGTTGGTTTCATATTGCGTTGATTGGCTTTTCACAGTTTTCACATTGAACTGGTTCTAAATTACTAGTTATGTGGTCCCATCAAACAACTTTGCAGGCCACGAGCCTGCGCCATCCACTGTCGCTGCCAATAGGCAAAGTCTGCATATTGCATCGACAACGGCGGTAGCTGAGCTGCCTCGGACAAGATCAACTCTCCACGAGTTCTGTTTGGGAATTGATGGAATTGTTTGATGCTTCACATTATCAAGGACTTTTTCTGTAGGCCTTTTCAAAGATCTGAAACATTCTGAAACATTCTGAAACATTCTGAAACATTCTGAAACATTCCCTGCCAGTTGCACCTGCTTCAACAACTGCTGATTGTAGGCAGTGCTGAGCTCATGCCTGACCGCTCCAATCATCTCCAATCATCTCCAATCCACTAGGAACACATTTTTGCTTCCGCCTGAAGATGGCCAACGATCGTCCATCCGTCACCGAATGGTGCATGTTGATCAGGAGGAAGTGAACGCATGGCTCCGAATTCACCTGGGAGGCGGAGGATATGCGAAAATGATGAGAAAATTCAGCTGGGGATTCGGCAGATTTCGATGGATGGTGAGAATCCCCAATATCCCCAAAAATACATAGTGGATATTGATAGTAAATTATAGTGGATAGTAAAACATCATATAAATTATTTTTTCAGCTCATCTAATAGTGGATATTATAGTGGATAGTAAAACATGTAAAACATTTTTTTTCAGCTCATATAAGAAAATTATTAATCAATCAACAGGCTTTGGATAAGGAACTGACCATTCGGACCTCAGACCTTGGATTTTTACCACAGTGGAAGACATCTCAAGAGATCCCATTTTTGCACCTGAGACGCCAAACATGGAAGAAACATATTCTGCATCCACAAAAATAGCACATATTTGGAATAGAAGGACAACTTTCTAAAATCATCTCAAATCATCTTAAATTTGGCCATATTTGGCCCTTGGTCAAAACCCCAGATTCTCATCATCCAACATGATCCAACCCTGGAATCCAACCGTGGAATCCAACCCTTCCAGACCTTGGCCAAGATCACCCGGATCAAAGGATCATCACGAAGATCGAATGGCTTTTTCACCTGAGCCGATGTTTGAAACGAGTCGGCTCAAACTCAGCAATACGATGCAACTGCCAGAAAAATAGGGCAAATGCTGAATGACTTGAAACTGTGAAAGTCACAATTTTATAAACCCTCAATGTTTATATATTAACCATATATTAACCATATATAAACATATATATAAACCATATTTATATTTAAGTAATTTTCACCATTTTTTTAACCACCCTCAATGTCAAAATGTTCTGCCTCCTCCATGAGCCAGGTCATGGTGGTCTCCACCGTAGACCTGAGCTTCAGCAACTGCTAAATTTGGACACCATCAACCCCAAAAATAGAAAACAATCTCAGAAAAACATAGAAAAACCATGTTCAGAAAATGACAAACACCCAATGTCCCACTTTTTTGGCTCTCAAAAAATGCTGATCCAATGAATCCAATGTGATTTTTCGCGTGATTTTTCCTGGGATTTCCATGATCTCGGCTCCTGACCCCCTTGGGTCTCGGTCCCTTCCATCGCCCAAGGACAAACTGCTGGTGCTGCACCTGGGATCAACATGGATCACCGAGACCGAATCCTTACGAATGCAGGCTGTTGACATGTCATTGATTGATCATATTTATCATATATGATATATATATATGATATATGTATTGATCACATATTACGAGAAATGTTGGATGACAAACTTCCTGGTTGCCATGATGTCAATTTCTCAATCCATCAGATCTCCATAACTCTGGCATCATTTCACCATGGATGTTTCGTCATTCCACCATTTCTGCCACCTTTGGGCTTTGGGCATCTCCATAAGTGGCAGAGCCTTGGCGGCAAACCATGTGAAACCATGTGAAACCATGTTTTTAATCATGTTAGAAAGCACAAATTCTGATTCTGCACCTACACCGATGACGGGACACAAAAACGTGACCTGACCACTTCGCCAGCTCCTTTAGCTCCCCTCTCTCACTTCCCAAACTGGTGACCTGTCCTGTAGTGCCCAATGCTTCAATAGCCATTCAAGACTTACAACCCCAGAAATATCTAAACTTCCACATCTTGCACATCAAAACGAACCATTTTTCTATAAGTCTTCAACCCTTAAACGCATGTATTTCCCATGTATTTAGTATATTTTAACATCACTTTCACCAATCTTTCCATAGTTTTTTTGTATGTTTACCAGTGGATTTTCCCATTGAACATGGTGATTTTCCCATTGAACATGGTGATTTTCCCATTAAAAATGGTGACTTTCCATTGAACATGGTGATTTTCCCATTGAAAATTGTGACTTTCCATTGAACATGGTGATTTTCCATACATCACCAATCTCAACCCCCAGCTGAACCCTTGGGCCGCGCCACATCTTGCCGTGGCGACCGCATGGGGGGCGAGTTGTAGCCCGGAAAGGCTGGGGACCAGGACGGGCGCCGCGCCGTGCCCGTGCCCGTGCTGTCCTTGGGAATATCGATGGATTTCGTTCGTCTGTGCCACTGTGCTATAGTTTAGTGTACTAATTGACAATGGATATATCTATCTATATATATATACTATATTTATATATAATATACATAGTATCTAATAGTGCAATGCAAGTCTCTGGATTACCAAGTATTTATGGTGTATTACACCATGAACATCTCCATGATATCCCGTGAACAGATGGGGAGATCACAGGATATTGCGAAGTATCAATGCTGGGTCAACCATAATTATACGGGACGTATACATTACCATCTTTTTTTGGAGGGGATATTTCATGGGATATAAGAGGATGAAATCCTGGGACATAATTCATATAATGATGGGATTTATACCCTCTGGTTATTCAACATAGCCATGGTATAGATGGCCCATTTATAGATGATTTTCCCAGCTAGACACCTCCATTTATAGGGGATTTTCCAATATTTTCCATGGCTATGTTAAATAATCAGATGGTAATTTATATAATGATGGGATATAGCGGGATAGGATATTTGGGTTCGTCCAAACATGGAGGATGGCCATCCACCAAGGATGTTGATCTGATTTGATCTGCATCTTGCACCACAAATCTTTTAAGCCACCGAAACATATTCCGTTTGGCCACCCAAGCCATACTCTACCCAGGCAAGCTATGATGTGGGGAATTGTGGGGATCATTCCAGACTGGAACGAATATCAAACATCTGGAATTCAAAATGTACCAAACTTGGATGGCTTACCAAGAATGATTCACAAAAATATCATGTCTGGTCTCCTGGGTTTGAACTTTTACATCTAAATGATGACTGATTGATTCATGACTTGGTTTCAGTGGATCTTAGATGATCTTAGAGTTATTGATCATGCAAAGTATTGGAAGCTAACTCCAAACATGATCAACACTTCACATCTTTGATTTCTCCATTGGTGACTGATAGACTGAGCACCAGACTCTTCGACTCCTGACCCAACAGGATAATTAGTTAGCATTATATGATATATGATGATATATGTATATATATATGAATCTGATATATATATATATTATATACATATATTATATAACAAGAAATGTCGAACTTCCATGTCTGTGTGCTTTTGTGGTGAGATCGAAGTAGTCCTTGTCTAGATCAGCTTCCCGCGTGAAGGATATCATGTCATGTGAAAGGACATTGCACTAGCACCATATTACTCATATTATTGTACACCATTTCGCATACTGGTTCATAATTTTCTTATTTCATATTCTTTGTCATGTCGGACATTGCACAACCACCATATTACTCATAATATTAGTGTACACCATTGCATTTCTTTGTTGGAACATGAAACAAACATTTCGCACCTGGCAGTCGTCAGCATGTTACTGCTGCCCGCTCGATCCATACGCCTTGGTGGATCTGGAGGTTGTCCCCAGACTGTCGTCCAATGTTGGGACGTTGGTTAGTTCAACATGGTAAACGTACAAAAAACTATTGAAAATAGCCATAGAAATAGTGGATTTACGACCATTCAAGATGGTGATTTTCCAGTTCGCTTTTTGTATGTTTACCATGTTGGTTAATGTTGGTTCCGATGGTGCTGATTTCCCATGAGGATCACATGAGGTTTTCTGCGATCTCAGCTCATCACGAGAGGCGCGAGTCCACTCGGTACAACTCTGGCTGCCCTAATCCGCTGATTTTTTTCGATCCATTGTCAAACACAAAGAATCACACACAAGACACAAAAGAGGAGCCGGAATGGAGCAGTAAAGATGGATAAAAAGGCCCAGTTGGTGGAAATCGGTGGAAACATCTGGAAATCATCTTTGGATATCTTTGGTTGATGTTGGTTGGGTTTCTCTGATCCCAAGAGAAATCATCGCATCTGTCGCATCGGTGCCTGGGGTGCGATCTCTCAAGCGTGTAAGCCTCGGTCGACCGTTTCCAAGAGGAGTTCTGAGATCGCCCAGTCCGTGTTTTTTTCCATGAATATAATATGTATATATATATATATTACTATACATTAATATCACTAATGGTTAATATATATATATATCACTACTAATGGTTAATATATATTACCAGTATTAATCATGTTTTAAACTATGCTTTGCCTATAAATGTGCTCATACATTTGATCTGAATTTGATGATTTTGATCTCATTTCAGCTATGTTCAATGATTTTGTCAATATTGACATATATTGATGTCATTTCAGAAATTCACCTATATTTCACCTCAACAGTCAACCCGGCCAAGCCGCGTTTGTGGTCGCAGCTGGTGGCGAACAGGAGCATCCTTGGGACCCACGGTCGTTTCATTTTTCATCATCCGCCACTATGGAGACGCTGCTATGGTGCTGTGCTGTTCAGCGCTGAGACTGCAACGACACCCACGGAGCTCCAAAATTCCATGTCATAGCGAAATTCACCGATGGGGGTGGTGACCTCAAGAATTCTCTCGATTTCAACTGTGATTTCAAGGGATTTCAAGGGATTTCAGTAACATGTTGCCTGGACCACTGCAGGCTCGCCATCAATGAAATCCCGAAGCAAGTTGCCTTAGCCACTCATGATGAACATCATATACCCTCTTGTAATTCAACCTATGGAAAATCACCAGTTTTCATTGGTGAATCAATGGTGAATCATCAATGAATGGACCATTTTCTACAGCTATGAACTGTTCAGCGTTTCTGAGGGGATTGCTCCGCAGAACATCGTGTCTTGCGATCACCTCGTGGCGGAAAAACATGGTTCAACTGGAACTGAGCAGCGTTCAAACCAATCAATATGTGGGATATAATGGATATATATATATATATTATTTTGATTGTATAACTATATATAATCCATAAAACTCCCTACAAATCCTACAATCATACACAATCATACACCATCATACACAATCATACACAATCATACACAAGCATGTTTCATAATATACAATCATATACAATCAATCAGAGGTTTTTTTTACACTGCTCTGGACTGGTCAGACCAGAGGAAGCTCAAAGGTCCTGACTCGCTCTATGGCCGCGGCGAATGCAGCACGGTCGAGGCTTCCTTCTAACCTGGCGACGAATGCTAGCGACAAATCCAGCAACGACTCCGTCCGACTTCTTGGGTTTTTCCCGTTCTACACCAGGGATTTCGTTGGAAGGCATAGGAAAATTAGGAAAGGACTTAACAGACTGCTTGAGATGTAGATCACTGTAGATCTTTCAACACTGAAATGCAGGCTGAAGCGGCTGAAGCATCAAGAGACTACGGGGACGAGTGCTTCCCTTCCTTCGATCTCTCAAAAACCATCAGTGTTGGCGTTGCCAAACAGTCAAGTGGTGCATAAAAAACTTCTTTGGGCTTTTTACGTGACATATAGTGACCCTTTAATAAATTTAACGCGTTTCAATATGTTTAAATGGAATGCTGGCCTAAAAAGCGGTGAGCCCAAAACCATGGGGTTTCGCTTTCCAATGGCTTCATGGTTTTACGGAGCTCCACTGGCTCCACAAATACCATGATTTCCAGCCTGAGAAGCAATGGCGAGTTGTAGGCAGGGCTTCCAGGTTGCAGTTCCTGCAGAACCAGCCTTAAAAAACACCAGAGGTGATCGATCAAATGAGTTAGCCTCTGGTAAACATACAAAAAGCTATGGAAAATGGCCATTTAAGGCCATAGAAATAGTGAGTTTTCCCATTAAAAATGGTGATTTTCCATAGTTTTTTGTATGTTTACCAGAGGGTAAATGATGTCAAAGAATTCTCAAAGATGTGTGCAAAAATGTGACGACTTGGATGTTGAATATTGTTGAATGATGTTTTTCGTGACTTGATGACCACTTGACCACTGCACTTCATTCATCATTCCACGCTCAAAGTGAATATCTCCAGACTCCAACAGACTCCACCTAAATCAGTCTGATCAGTCTGCATATCTCCATATTTTCATCAGCCGAGCATCATATGTTCTTGGCCCAAGCTGGCCGGCATCAACCCGTCCAGCGGCGCTGGGCCCAACGTCATCACCTCCCGGGTGGTGCTCAACAGCATCGCCAGGGAGGAGGCCGATGGCGCTGCGTAGACTTCGTCGAACTGCAAGGCCGAAGCCTCGATTCACAGGGCCCCTCAGTTAGTATGGTTAATATATGTTAATACAGTATATGATGGGTTAATATATTATGGCTAATATTGAGATATTCCATGATATTCATTGATATTCATTGATATTTACATTAATATCATTAGTTCATATTAGTTCTATATGTAGATTCAATAGTTTTCAGTCATAGTCATGGCTTCTCATTATATCATGTTATCTGATGGTACGTCATGGTCATCTGGTCATTCATTGCTGCATCGCTTTTACATTGTTGTCTATTCATCAGTGTCAACAGAGGTTGAATTTAAGCACCGCAACGCCGCAACAAATTAGGCACAGCACAAGACTAAATCAACCGATTTCTTCAGTGAAATGGGTCAGTCAAGAATGCAATGTGCAGTCCGGAAAAACAAAAACATTCAAAAGAATCAACATCCACAAACTGCACAAACATCATAAACCCATATAAACCCATATAAACCCATATAAACCCATATAAACCCATATAAACCCATCAAAATCATACAAATTCCACACCATTATTTATAGGAAACATCAACAAATCGATCCAATTTGGGTTTTTTTGGCCATTGGATAAAGCTGCCTCTGGAACTTGCGCTCGTAAGGCTGAAAGCAAAGCTGCGGCTTTCAATGAAGTGCCTCCCAACCTCGTTTCTCTTTGAAGGAACTCACCAATCTCACCAGTCATTAAACACCAAGAAATCCATGAGAAACATATGGCAGTGTGTCAAAACCTTGTACCCCTGGTGAACATCAAAATAGCTGGTAAATGGATGTTCATCCCACTAAAAATGGTATTATGTTTCTAATATGGGTATGGATCAATACCTATGAAATACCATTTTTGGGGGGATGAACATCCATTTTAACCCAGCTATTTTGATGTGAACAGAAGGGGTACTATTGGTTTTGACACACTGCCATATGAGAAACATATGAAACAACTGGTTTGGACTTTGGACTCTCTCTTTCGGTTGGTTTCAGGTTGCGACGCGAAGAAGTCTGCATGCACAGAAGTGCATTCGGGATCTCGCCTCAAGACCTTCAGCCAAACAGAACATGAATATCTAGAAATACCCTCTGGTAAACTAACATAGCTATGGAAAATCACCATTTTCAATGGGAAAATCCACTATAAATGGCCATTTTCAATAGCTATGTTAAATTACCAGAGGGTATCTAGAACTCATTTTTCTGGTTTCCTCTGGAAACTTCCTTCGTCTCCACCGCTTTAACACTTCATTTTTACAAACCTTCCAGCTGTTTCCAGCCATTTCCACCTGACAAAAGGCCACCAGCAATTTCTTCTCCAAGGGAGTCCTTGGAGCGACTGTGTCCTGGCGCGCATGAGCGGCTCAACGGCTCAACTCATGGCCGAAATATATGCCAACTGATGGGGGAAACAGTACAATAAATGTTGATTTAATGGTTAACAATGGTGAATAATGGGATGATATGGGATTTACCCTCTGGTAATTTGTAACATGACTATGGAAAGATCCACCATTGAAATAGTGGATTTTCCCATGAATAGCATGGTGGATCTTTCTATAGCTATGTTGAATTACCAGAGGGTACAAGGAAACTGAATTTCAAAACCCCAAAAAATCTGGGATCTTCTTCAATCTTTGAAACACCGTTGAAAAAACCGCATGTCATGTAGGCATCATGTAGGCTCTGCCTGCACGCAAATTGTAGGCACTGGTAGGGCCTTTCGATCCACCTGAAACGGAGACTCGAGTAGGTCTCAAGGATTTCGAGTAGTGAAGCTGTTGGAAATCTTGACCAAGACATTTTCGAGACTTTTTCGCAGAAATTCAAACATCAACCAGGACATCTCTTTTTCACATCTCTTAAGATTCTTTAGTCATTTTGGATATTTTAGGAAGATATCTTAAGATTCTTTAGTCATTTAAAAAAAGGCTACCCATCAACCAATCATAAAGCATCCAGTCATCCAGTAATCCAGTTGACCCTGGCTGTTGGACAAATGGAGCAGCGCACCTTTCCAGTCCGACCTCGGGGCCACTCTTTCACCACCACCAACTCTGGCCACATGTACCTCGTCGCCAAAACCAGCCAGTTGTCCCGTCGCTTAAAACCGAATATGGCCAAAAAAAAGGCCAAATTATATAAATGATGCCAGTCTTCACATGAACATCAACAACAATGGATTGGTTATGATTGGTAAAATCAGGGAAAATCTACACAGGAACCCATGGTTTTTCCCATGAAATATGGGGTTTTCCATGGTTTTCCGGTAAAAAATTCCCCTTGAACCAATCCATTGACATCCATATTGCCCTGTTGGCGCCTCGGCAACCTCTGCCGCGTCTTCTCCAGGCACTGACGCACGGCGTCGCCTTCCTCCACGCCCTGCCGGAGGCTAGAAAGGGGGTAGGACAATCTACCCCATAGGATCCATGTATGCTATATATGGTGGCATTTACCATCAATATACCCCAAATGTTAGCATATATACCATACATGGATCCGTCATGGGTACACAACTCCCAATGTTTGTATATCGTTCTGGAGTTATGGGTGCAGGTGTTAGGAACATGATGGAACATGATGATCAACTGGTTAGGGGGCATTCTTTTTGACACACACCCATGTGTTATTGATCAAATTAATACCGGACTAACCATGCACACGATGATTCAAAGCCAGTGGTTGTGGCAGGAGATGAAACATAAGCAACAAATAGCAACAATGTCAGCAATGTCTGCAGTCAACTGAAGGATATCTGAAGGATATTGAACAGATATTTATCATGTACTGAACAACTCATTTTCAGCGGATTTTCAGCGCCTGGAGAAGGGAAACATATCCGATAAGGCGGTCACAATGCACAATTGCCACTGCCTTGCGACAACGAAAACAACCAATTCCCTCGAAGCGAGATCGCCCTCATGGAGGGAACTCATCGTCCAAGTCCAATTCCCCCCCTTATTTGGTTTCGTTCCTGTAACGATGGTAATTCATCAATTTCATCAATGGTCACTGCCGTGTTGGTCATGGCCACAGGCCATCACAGGCCAACCTGCATTTTTTTCACTGATTAAACCGCTGAAACTTTGAGGCCCTGAAAGTGTGACCCAAACAATCGGCGCTTCAACAATGATCTTATATTAAGCCTTGCATGTTCCAATGCACAAAATGTGCAAAACTAACAGCAATCTGATAGTACTACGTAAAGAATCTGATAGAATCTGATGTACCCTGTAAAACTATGATCGCCTGAGTGGTTTGTTCTGTTCTGAGCTGCTTCATACTGTTTCATCAAAAAACAACTCCAAACAACAGAATCAAACGCTGGTCTGACGATGCTTGTGCCAAGGACAATGCATCACATTCCACCTGACTTTTTAATCTCCAGTTAAGTACAGGTTTGAAAATACAACTAATGTTTCTTCTGAAAGAGTTGGTGTCAACATTAACTGTGTTCCCGATCAGGTATCGGAATCTGATCTAATATACTAACTCTACATCACTTTTCAGATTTCTATATATCTATATTTTTTGGGTGTTTTTTTTGGGTTGGAGATGCTTGGAGGACACAAATTTCACATAAAAATTTCAGCAGTGCCTCAGTGACAGCTGGAGCAGAGAGCAAGGTTTCCTCCACTTCGCCCAACTCCACTCGTTGACCCCGGAGCTTCACCTGCCGCCATAGCTGCAGCCGATCTGACATGAAACGACATTGAAATGACTTGGAATCTGAGATGATTCATATGACATGATTCATGACATCATCAAAATTCATCTCAAATGATCTCAAGATATCTGAAGTCTTAAAATGGTGATGTTGCATAAACATGCATATAATTAAACATCATACACTCTTCAAATCACGAACAAACCATGATCAAATCAGCATCTCAACCAGCTGATTTATCACCCACCTGATTGTCCAGTCGACCCACAAATTCCAGGAGATCGTCCTGTTCTGCAAAACATCTTGAAATATGACAGACTAAACATCTGCAGAGGGATTGTAAATTATTGTAAATTCTAAGTTTTCCACATGTCCAATCTATTCCTTTTCTGCAAATGCGACCATTGTGACGTCGTCACTCGAAAAAACAAAAACGTGGTCCTGGCCGTATCTGCCCACGTCACCAGTGAGATAAAGTATTGGTCCGCATTGCGGTAGAACCTCGCGAATGGCCTGGCCGGGGGGAAATTTTCGCTGCTGAGTGAAAATCCACATGTTGAAACGAATGTTCTGAGTGTTCAATAATTTGCATCCCTGACCCAATATGGCTATTGAATAATAATTATATGGCATCCATCCAATAGCTGCTATAGCTATTTATGTAAATGATTTTTGAACATATCATCATTTACAATTAAATAGCTGCTTTGTAATTTCTTTTTTATTGCCAATAGCATCCAATAGCTATTGGGAACTCTTCTTTTCTCAGCTTTTCTCGCCTGTGGTGTCTTGATGAACTTTGTCTTGGTCTCTTGTGGAAGGTTCAGGTAGCCGCTGGCAAGGCCCTGCACGTGGTCCCGTTGTGGTCCCGTTGTGGTTGTGGTCTGGTCCCGGAGAACGTGGTTGGGGTCTTGATGGGTGGCATCTTTCAGGCACAATTTTGTCTTCAAAACTCAAACAAAGAGAAATTCTATAGGAAACTATAGGAAATTAGGAAATTTACTCAGAATCATTCCAAAAAACTTAGAGTAACTGAAAAAAACATGTTACAGTGTAAACATCTTTCCCAAGATTCCATCACATTCCAACACATTCCAATCCTTTTGGTGGCACCGCGCCTCACCCATGATGCCAATCTGCCCAGCACGGCCGACTGCTGGTCGCAGCTGAGGGTCCAGTAGCAACACCTCTGTGGATTGAGTTTTTTTTTGTGGAGAAACCTGGGGGTTTTCGATGTGGAAATACAATGGCTGACTCAAAAATGAACTATGAAATTAATGAGACTAAAATATTCTAAAGAGTTAAAGAGTCTGAAATTGAATGGCATTCAGACATATTCAGACTAGAATGTTGAAGTGAAGCGAATGTGTATATGGTTCTTTCTCCATGAAAGGATATGAAAGATCATGAAAGATCATGAAAGGACTTCAAATGACTTCAGGAACTGGAGATGCACATGCTGCAAAGTCAAGCGGTCCTGGCTGTGGATGCGGATGCTGTGGTGCGCCCATTTTTCGGCCCATGCCCTGACTTCAGGCATTTTCAGCTGCCCTTTTTGGGGCGCTGTCAAGCTGTCTCGACGGTGAAACGTGGAAACATGGCATCGCCTGGTATTGCCTGGTGGTGTTATCCCAAATTGGGATAGGATGATAGGACCAATGACCAATGATGATCAATGATGTAAGATGTACCCTCCGGTAAACTAACATGTAACATAGCTATTGAAAATGGCCATTTATAGTGGATTTTCCCATTAAAAGTGGTGATTTTCCATAGTTATGTTAGTTTACCAGAGGGTAATGTGGAAACCACCAGCCGCTGAGCTGGCTGAATTTTCCTATCACCAGCTATGCCGCCAGCTATGCCTATGCCGCAACGCAGCGACACTCGGAAAGCAAACAGAAAAAGTCAGTGTGCTTTGCCACAGGGAATTTTGTGTGTTCCAACACCCCAGTCGCTTCCACAACTGCGATGCTGTTGGTTTTTTTCTGGGCTCAGGCGGCTCAGGGATGTTTTCAAATCATCCGTTTTATCATGTATCCAGTATCCATTTACCATCTCACAATTTCTAACAATCCATTCCCAAGAATCTGATATCTGATCCATTCTCCAGATCTATTCTCCAGATCTATTCCTGATTGAAGTGGCCTTGATACTCACTTTTAATGGGCAATCGTGGGCTGGTCACATGTTGAGCTCCAAGTCCTCGGGAAAGCTGCGACAACCAATGCTCCGTGTTCCACGTGTCACCAGGAAGGGCCACGGCTCGGAAACTCTCCAGGTGACCTCAACTGTTCGGTGATGTTAGGTGAAAACCCAAAGATTTAACATTCTAAAAAGCTTCAAGATTCTCTTAATATATACAAAATTATACAAATAGTACAAATATCATATATTATATTAAATATCATCATTAGAATATACTATGATGATATATTATTCATGTATACAAAATGACACTGTGACCTGACACTCCTGTAAAAAAACCCAGGCGCTATCCACTTCTTTAGGCATTCCATGACGGAAATCTGTGCGATATGTCGAGTCTTTCACCAGGAGCCTTGCTCCGTAAGCTGTACCTTGCGTACCTTGGGAAGGTGGAGGTTCAGCTGGAAAGTGCTGCAATGTACCATAAAGTACCACAAAACACCATGAATATCCATAAATCATGGGTTTTGAGGTGTTTTTCTCAGTTTTTTTTCTCAGTTTTTGGTCAGTTGCTTGTTGATTGTGGATGGATTTCCTCATCACGTTGCCATATTATGGCATATTTTGGTATAATATGATAATATGTGTTTCGGGAATATCAGGATATAGATATATCCAAACTTTCTCAATCGCCAAGTCTCTGGGACGTTTTGCTTCATCCCAGTTTCCCATGTGAAGTGCCCCTCCCGGATTTCCAGCACTCTTCAAAAGGAGGCGCACGGCGTTAGATGATCGCACACCTGTGCTGGTTGCATGGTAGGGAAGCTGCTGGAAAACCAGTGGAACATCTTTCAGTGTGCCTAAAATACTTTTCTACCTGAGGGAGACCTTCATTTTAGACATTTTAGACCCCATTGCGAAAGTAGACTTTGCGCTTTGGGAAAAATGGAACTGAGTTTGGCGCGTTCCGCATGAAGATCCTCGTGATTGTGGTTGTAGGCCAAGCGATACGTGGATTGAAATGCTTCCCGTGACCAACAGTCGGGGCCAGGGCTTCCGCCGCTGGGCAAAGGAGGGCTCACTGGACTAGCCGCAGGGCTTGCAGGAAGCATTTTCGAAGAATCGATGGAATCCATGGAGTCCATTGCGTCCCGCGGCCCTACAGAGAGTCAATGCTTTGCTGGGTGATTTTTTCCTGAGCCAAACGCTGAAGTTTATTTTCAGTGAAACTTATGGTGAATGTTCAAAAGATTTCAAAAGCCATCAGTTGTTGAAGATGTGCATTTGATGTGCATTTGCATGAATTTGCCAATGAAAGTCCTTTCCAGCAAACCTTTGAAGACAACAGGCGCCTGATGCCACGAGACGGGTCTGCCAATGGGCAAGGTTTGTACCTCAGGTTGAAGATGCTTGAAACAGGGGAGACTTCCATGATGTTCCATGATGTTCCATGATAAAATCATCCCGGAGATCATCGATCTGGCCATGATAAAATATGGTATATGGATGTATATGGCCAGAGCTCAGCTTTGGGCTTGCGGCACCAAAGCTGGAGAAATTTTGGGGGAAGTGATACCCCATATTCTTCTGGTCCCTGATCCTTGGCGCCTTCCAGTGACTCCAGTGTCTTCCAGTCTCGGTGTTTCTGGGAAAACGACATGTGGAGGAACTTTGCCAATCTTGTCCACCTCTAGGCGAGAGCATTCGACTGTCAATCACAACATGGGATGAACATGAAGTCCTTTCGCCTGTGTTGATTTTTGTTTGAAACTTTGACACCATCATCATGCCACAATCCTTTGTGCTTTTCGTTCTCCAGCCTCGTAGATTGTAGCGCCAATGCCTGCTTCTGAAGGCCCGTAGAAGTTGTTCAAAGAGAGGGGAGCCTCCAATGGGGGAATTTTCGTCCAAAGCTGTACGCAGATCTTCCACGGTGAGTCTTCAAATTGGCCATTGGCCATGGTTTGATATTTGGGTATGGATCAATACCTATTATAAATACCATTTTTAGGGGGATGAACATCCATAAATCCCAGCTATTTTGATGTGAACTACAGGGGTACAAGGTTTTGACACACTGCCATTTATGAAAGCTGTCTGCATGTATGAAAACTGGGTCGAGCTTCGTATTTCATTCGCGCTTCTGAATTGTCCGAACATCTCGGGTGTCGAAAAACATGCAATGTGTCTCATTCCCTCTCCTCCAAGATTCGTCGAGCAAGACTCAGGGAACACGCCTGTCACAGGTGAGGAGAGACTCAAGTGGTATGTTAACCATATTCTTACATCCAAAACATCGACGAGGAACATACCACTCCAGAGGGCAGCTGGATATTAGTATTAGATTTATGTGTTTTTCCATAAGAAAAAACATGGGAAAAAATGAGAAAATGGGGGTTTCAGGGCGTATATGTTTGTATGTTGCTTGTTATGATTTTGTGTTGGGGTTCAATGTGTCTTCCCTATCTTTGATGTTTTATGTGGTGGGGGTTTTGGGACTATTTTACCCCTAACTTTCATTGTTGATGTTTGGATTGAATGGGGGTAGGATTTGTTTAGACTGTTGTGGTTGTTGTTTGTGTTTGGGTGGGTGAGTACTTCATAATGTATTTTGTTAAGATATTATGAATTAATCATTTATGCTTTCCACTTTCCTATTCCATCCCACCAGTTTTCAATTACTCTCATTTGCGTTAAGCGCGGTTTGTTTGTATCGGTTAGTTCATCCATCGCTATTGATAAAAGAGTTATATTAATAATCATTGCGTTGAATTTACCATCACGGTTAAGTTCTTTACCACAGTCAATGATTACTTTTTTAACAGTTAAGTTTTCATACATATGTTTCATAATGTCAAATCTAACGAACGAATATATTATCATTCCATTTACTCCTTCATTATCTTTCATCCTATCAATTACTTTCTTCCATTTTTTTCTCCTTCCTCATCGTCAGGTGTTGGCATAGGATGACACCTTACAAAGTCTCTAATCTCTTCATCTTCTTTTTCTATTTGTTTTCTTTCCCAATCATCATCCTCACTATCACTACCAAAGTCAGCATATATACCAATATTATTTGTATCTATAACCTCAATTTTTGCTCTACTCATTTTCTCTTATTATATATAGTTATCTTTATTTAAGTATTTATCACTTTTTGTAGGTGCTCTTGTATTTCTGTTGAAATACAGTATTTCTCATAACCTTTGAAGAGTTCTTCAATGTATTCACGCAAGAAGATTTCCAAAATGTATTTTACTTTGATTTCCCTATTTCTAAATGTATAAGTCCAATCATTTTGAGGACGCCACCACTTCCGCATTTCCTTATAACACTTCATATATGTAAGGTCGTGAAAGTTCTTAAGGAAGTGATGGGTAGTTTTCCACTCCCTTTTTACAAAAGATTTAATCACCATTAAGAACAGTTTGTCATGTTTGAATTTTTGCTTGAGTTTGAATGTATCCATCAAGACATCTATTTCTCTTTTCATTTGTCGGACGTTTGTTCGGTTGGTGTTGTATAAAAAAATTGGTGTTGGCATCTCGGTCTTGAAGAAAAGTATTTGTTTTTTCTGATGTTGTTAGATGTTTGCCTTTGTGTTTTTTTTGAAATTCATTCTCCTTTAGGTTCAGGTTTTTACATTTGAAACAGTGAAGGTTGTAATCACATATCTCATCACAAATTCCAGCAGGAAAAATATTGTTTAATAAAACCTTAATGTCAGTCATTTCTTTCTTACAACATCCACAGTCTTTATAAGTAAATAGCATCCTCTTATTATATATGGGTAATATTTCTTTAAGTAGTTTCTGGGGTCTCTTTCAGTTTTTGGGTTGTCTGTTGTCCTGTATCCACTGTAATCGTTTCATTCGTTGTGTTTCACTACTATCACTTTCATATTCTTCATCTTCAGGGTCTTCTTTTTTGTCTTCATTTCTTACTTCGTGTATCATCCGTCGTATCTTGTCTATACCGTGTTCTCTGTCAAATCCTTCCATTACATTTCTCACTTTTTCCAGACCGATATGCCGTTCAATCTCTTCGTCTGTCATTTGTCGGAATTGTTCTTTATATTCTTCATCATACTCTTCTTCCTCCTCATCCTCATAGTTCATAAACATTTCCATTCGTTGCTTTTCCATTTCCAAAAGTGTGTTTTCCATTTGTTGAAATTTCATTTGTTTCCTGCCACACTTTCCACAAACATTCACGAAGGTTTTCAACAAATAATTCCAACCAGGGTTTTTGTAATCACCATTGCGAAAGGTGATGCACTCGCTCATAATACGACATCCACAGTCAAATTTAGTCATCTTACTTATTCTTACTATATATATAGGTTTGTTTTTTAAGCATATGTGTTATTGCTGATAATTTTAAAAATCTAATATTACCCACAGGCCCCGTGTGTTGCCCAAGCCCAGAATAGTGTAAATTACAATGATTTTCTGTTCACACTGTACATATCATATAAATTCTCCCACCCCCGTTAAACTTCTACATTCATTGAAGATTCTTCAATAAGGGTTTAATTCTCCCACCCCCCTTAGACTCTTACATTCATTGAAGATCTTCAATAAGGGTGACATTTCCCACCCCCGTTAAACTTCTACATTCATTGAAGATTCTTCAATAAGGGTTTAATTCTCCCACCCCCCTTAGACTCTTACATTCATTGAAGATCTTCAATAAGGGTAAATTTCCCACCCCCGTTAAACTCTTCCATTCATTGAAGATCTTCAATAAGGGTTTAATTCTCCCACCACCGTTAGACTCTTACATTCATTGAAGATCTTCAATAAGGGTTTAATTCTCCCACCCCAGTTAAACTCTTACATTCATTGAAGATCCTCAATAAGGGTTTAATTTTCCCGCCCCGTGGAACTTCTACATTCATTGAAGATCTTCAATCATCATCATCATCATCATGAGATTTGCCGGGAACGTCCCTGTAAACTTCCGGGCAACACACAGGGCCTGGCCGTAATATTATAATATATGGCAAGGAGACTATCAAGAGATGACATCATAAGCAATGTCTATAACAATCTTGAAACGGGCTTCGGTTCAGTCAATGAGACCCTCAAGAAAGCAAAGGAACAAGACAAGACCATCAACAGGGTGGATGTGGAAAACTTTATGAGGAAACAGCCCAACAAACAGATTAGAAAATACAGGGGGTCAAACTCCTACACCGCACCCTTCGCAAGGTTTGAATATCAGATTGACATAATGGATATGAAACCCCTACCTAAAGAACCAGAGACGAAAATTCCCATCAAGAACGATGAACCGAGATACGGGTTGGTGGTCATTGACATCTTCAGCAAGTTGGCAAACGTCGTCCCTATGAAAGAAAAATCCGGACCAATCACATTATCGGCGATGAAAGAGAGTTTCAACAAAATGGGTTTTCCAATGTCCGTTTATAATGACCGTGCCTTCCAAGCGGGAGTTAAAGACTTTTTTGATAAAGAAGGCATCACTCACGTCGTCACCCTAACTCACGCTAATGTAGTGGAGCGTTTCATAAGGACAATGAAAAATATGATACACGACAGGGTCAGGTTTAATCGTGGCAGTTGGACTGTTATGTTGTCCAAAGCATTGGATAAATACAAAGACACCGTCCATTCATCCACGAAAATGAAACCCAAGGATGCCCACGATGACAAGAACCATATGGACGTCAGGGTGAATTTGACAAGGAGGGAAAAGAACACTCGCAAATATCCAGAGGTCAAAGTGAATGATATGGTCAAGGTCTTTGAGAAGAAAAAAGACAACTACACCGAGAGGAAGGAGTATAACTCAAAATGGAGCAATCAATCCTACAAAATCGTCAAGATAGAATACGATGATGTCGGAAACAGAACCTTCAAACTGGGAGAATGAGAGAATAAAAAATGAAAGATGTTGAAAGACATGGAACCTTATGAAAGATATCAAGTTGAATGTTCTGTCTTGAAATTGATGATAAGGAAACACAATAAAATCATACCCAAAAAAAGACAAGACATACCTTGACAATCAAAAAGCGACAACCACAAGTGCAGTATCCACAGTATCTCCCTCATCTGAACCAAAACACAAACCCCAACAGCCTAAACAATTGTCCCCCTCATCCAAAACCAAACATTGACACATCACTTTAGCAACAAAATTACCCCCAAAACCCTACCTGAAAAATCATCAAAACCAAGGATGAAACATTGAACCCCAACACAAAATCATAACAAGCAACATACAAACATATACGCCCTGAAACCCCCATTTATCCATTTTTTTATGGGATATAATGGGATAACTGGAATAACTTGAGAGTTTCATTTATTTTCGTGGAAAATGTACTTGCGATGCGTTGAAAACACCTCTCCGACCACCACCAAAGACCGAAGACTTCGAGGTAAGGCTTGCTGCTCCAAAATTTCCTGGGTTTTCGAGCAGCAATCCACCGGAAATTCAATATCTTCGTCGAGTCTTGTCCTGGAAGAAAAAGTACGTGTTTCCATCTCTGTGGAATGCTCCTATCAAATACCATGTCCATCTGTATAGGTCTATATCTGGTTCCTATTCCATCCTATTCCATCCTCACTATTCCAGATTTGCATCTCATGTCATCTCCGTTTCAGCCATGTTTCACCAAGTTCCCCCAGTACGACCAGTGCTGCCGGGTTTCAGCCAGCAAGGAAGGGACGAAGAGCGCATGGCTGACGCGATGCTCATCCACCAGCGAGGAGATGTACTGAAAGTCCTCCAGGATTCCCAGGATCCAAACGACATCTGTTTTTTTGACGTGAAATATTCATGTATACATAAAATGACATACCCAGATGCTCCATGTATGATATATTTACCTACATGACTGGGTGATTTTTAGGGCAAATGTTGGTAAATAGTCCATACATGGAGCATCTGGGATATATTTAAATACAAAACATAACACCTCATAAAATGATAAATGACGGATGAAATATCATATATGATACATATATATATATATATATTATATAAAGATATAAACAAACAAGAGCTCCAAAAAGTTTTCTTTAAACCAAATTGTAACCTTAACTTTTGCAAAATGTAAGCTTAAATTTGTAAATTGTAACCTGACATTTTGCGAATTGTAACCGTATTCTTTGTAAATTGTAACATTAAACTTTGGGTTGCTGGATGGTGGAATCATGCAAGAATTTACATGTTGGACTGGACTCTTAAAGAAGGGCTTTGTCGGAAAACATCTAACCACATGTAACCACTAAAACTCAGTGGTTTATCATGATTTATCATCACTTCCCCAATGGAAATTGCATTTTTTTGTCTCTATTTTCAGACATACCCAAATCATATTTATAGTCAGTGATATCTCTCATTATACCACCATTAAACCATCATTCTATCAACCATGATTAACTTCTCATCCTTCCCTGCACATTTGTAACCGTATTTGTTGTAAATTGTGACCTTCTTTTTTGTAAATTGTAACCTTCCGTGTTTTCATTGTAGCCTTAAAGTTGTAAATTGTAACCGTATTTTTTGTAAATTGTAACCTGAACTTTGTAAATTGTCACCTGAAATTTTCCGAAGTGTAACCATTTTTTTGTAAATTGTAACCATTTTTCTTGTAAAGTGTAACCTGATTTACTTATAAATCGTAACCTCAAGTTTTGTAAACTGTAACCTTGATGTTTGTAAGTTGTAACCTGTTTTTTTTGGTAAATTATAACCTTAATTTTTCTCAATTGTAACCTGATTTGCTTTTAAATTGCAACCTATAATTTTGTGAAAAAATAAAGCAATCGGAACAATATTGGTTTAAAAAACATGGGGTCCTTTTTTCACTTTTGGAGGTCCAAATTTGGCTCAAAAGGGGTCCAAATTTGACCCAGAACGAGAAAACATTGTAACCTTAACAATTTTGGGGAAAATTAAGGTTATTACAATCTGCAGAATAGCTTGCAGAAACCCAAAATTGCAACAAGGGCTTTAATTTTGGGCCAAAAAAATCCCCGGAATGGTATCCCAAAATCACCTATTTGAACCTGCTAGAACCCCCCTAAATGTGACATAATAAATGGCTAAATTTTAAGGTCATAATTGACCAAATGTAAGTTTACAATTCCCAAAATGCAATCCTGAAAAGGATGGATAGACAACTATGTTACTATGTTATATATTGGTCTGTTAATTTCCTCTTGTGCATCTTCCGCCTCCCAAGTTTTTGCAGTTCCAAGCCCAAGCCCCAACATGTAAATTCTTCCAAGATTCCACCCTCCAGTAACCCAATTTTAAGGCTACAATTGCCACAGTTTAAAGTTACAATATAATTACAACAATTGAGGTTTCATTGCCCAATTTTAAGCCAAATTTAAGGTTGCACTTGCCAAAATTTAAGGTTACTATTTACAAAAAATAAGGTTACAATTTCAAAAATATAGGGTTGCAATCTACAAAAAATAAGGTTACAGTAAGCCTCTAAAGAGACCCCCCAACAACGTGTTAGAGCGCCGTGCTAATAAATAAATAAATATATATATATAGAAATGCATGCATGCATCCATGCATGCATGCATGTATGTCACATGTCACATAATGACTTATGTGATTCTGTAGTTCTTGGACCCTTCTTCTCCATCAGTCCCTGGTCATCCCTTGTCCTTGGATCCATCCCTCTTGCTGATCACCACTGTGGCGCCCGCCAGAATCGCTGGCCAAATCTCACAGATGGGCCTTGGAAAAACGAGGGGAAAACATGGGAAGACTCCCGAATCAGCACCTGGCATGAAAAACCTGAAATGGTCCATTGGATGCAGGAGAATTCTTGAGTTCTGCCCAAGCCCTTTTGAGATTTGCGAGATGAGAAGGGAAAAATGGAAAAGCAGGTGGAAGATGTGGCAAATGTCCATCCTATATTGGTTGAAAATCTGCCGGCCTGCCGGCGTGTCTTGTGGATCTTGCTTGTTCGTAGTTGTACTGTCTGTTTTGTCTTTGTCTTGTTTAGACTTTCTCCTTGGCGCGGATTTTTGAGGATAGCCTGCTGGGCAGCGCGGGACGTGGGACGTGGGACGTCGGGGACGTCAGGTGTGGGATTTTGCCTCGTCTAACTTGAATCCCCTCCCCCCCACCCTAGCTCTTCTTCGTTTCGTCTTGATCTTTCCTTACATTGTGGTGGGCTCAACTCTGCCCACGCCTCGCTCAACACCGGCTTGGTTTTGCAAATCTTGCTGCCATTTCGATGGTTGTTTCCTTTTTTTGGTTGTGTTTGCCATCACTTTGCTCCGTCGCTTCTTAAATCCAATACTTATACTTGATCCACTGGCTTTTGTACCGAACACCTTTTACACGCATAACTAACCTTTCTAAATACGGCCTTTTCCAAAGCCGTTCTCAATATGGCCTTTTCCAAAACTTGGTTTACACACATGCTTTGGTTTAAAATTGAACCGTGGTTTGAACAAAACCGATGTTTTTGCGTCCAAACCATCTTTTACACAAAGAGCTGTTTTACACAAAAACTGTCTTATCCTTGTCCACAAACACCATCTTTTACACAAAAAGCAATGTCCTTGTTGGGCCTGTGCAAGGGCTGTTTGCAGCCTACAGGATAGCTCTTTCCATGGTGGCCGGCGGAACACGCCAAAGGCGGTTAAATAGATCAAGTCAACGTGTTGTCAACCAGAAAGAGTACCATCTGGTTATTATTTAACATAGCCATGGAAAATCCCTTATAAATGGAGGTTTCTAGGGCCATCTATACCATGGCTATGTTAGTCATAACCAGAGGGTAGATCAATAGTTCCCAGTCCACTTTCACATTCAACAGCCCCGTTCTTTGCTCTTAGAACTGCACGCATCAAAGGTCCAGGAGGTGTGTTGCAGAACAGCCTGGGGCCAAGTGTTGTGTCAAATGACCCAAAAATCCATGTCAGTATGTCAGCTCCCGGATGTTCAAATATGTTCAAAAAATCAATGATCATCAATGATAATTTATAATCAATGATAATCTAATTAAGCGTTGTCATCCTCAATGGTATTTGACCATCAATGAGTTGCAATAATCAATGATAATCAATCATGTGCTGTTCCAACCATGTGGAAGTCTTGCAACACAAGCAATAACATTGCAAAACCACGTGCCTGCCCTTGCTTGAAGTCGAAGTGCTTGCTGGTGAAGAGAACATGGGCAAGCAAAGCTCTCATGGAGAGGAGCACACCTTCGAAAGTCTACAACTCTCAGGTTGGCTCCAAGTTTGGATATTATTAATAACACAAGCCATTTTGGAACAGTCGCATTTTTGGACTTGGACATACTTGGACTAATTTGATCCATGATGATCCATGCAATATGGACACAGTGGCAGCCACAGTAGATCCGCTGGGCCTTTGGGTCTCCCAGTGGATCCACCTGAGGACGAGGCAAACAAAATCCACCGAAATTTGAAAATCACAGGATTGTATCACTAATATATGTCACATTAATATGTCACTAATATATGTCATATATATATATATATGTCACTATAATATTTATGTGAAGAGAGACGACTTCTCTGTTTTTTTTTTAAAACATATTCTGCACTGCTCTGTTTGCCTTGTTACAGATCCAGACTTTTGTTTTCTCCTTCCATCCATTTCCATCCATTTCCATCCATTTCCATCCCCTCTCAGTGACTTTCCTCATCTTTCCTAGGAAAACTATGCAAACATATGCAAAATCAACCTCCTTGGGCCTAGGACCGACATGGACCAACATGGACCGACATATTTCTGGGCCCTCCACTGGTGAAGACCAGAAGACTTCGGGCTTCAGGTGCCATGTGGGGCCAAGGCTCTCTCCGTGGATGCATCCTTCAGGAACAAACCAAGATGGGTTTAGAGATGTTTATGTTCAATAAACTAACATAGATGTTTATAAAATTGCCATTTATAGTTGATTTTCCCCATGAAAAATGGTGATTGTCCATAGTTATGTTAGTTTACCAGAGGGTATGTTTATTAGACTTATAATCATTTTTAGATAGTACAGTACCATATAGATCAGCATGCCGACATGCCGCTTCTATCCGTTTCTATCATTTTCTCTAAGACGTTTTTGCATGAGTCGAATCCTGCATTTGTTTCCCGCTCCCGCCTCTGCATCGCCAGATCTTCCACAAATACGGTGGGCCAACCCAAGGAATTGGCCAAGGATTGGTTCTTCCGCTCGGTGAAAACACACTGCGGTGATGCGTCCTGCGTCATTTGTTGGATCCGTTCCAAGGGATGCGAAGTATCCAGGGCGAAATATCCACGGCCAGCCATCCAAGCCCCTAAGGGACCGGCTAACATCCATGGACCTGGAGCAACCATCAATCCAATGAACTGATTTTCTTCGTTCCAGTGATTTTCCAAAATGGACTCTTCTAAGAGTGGATTCTCCAAATCCAGCGGTAGCATTGATTGAGACGATGTTCTGGAGGCCGTGGGTTGAACGTCACAGAGATAGGCTGCAAAGAGCTCAGCGCGGCGCAGGATTTCGCCATAGGTACAGACGCCTTCGGGGCCAATCACGGCAAAGGCACTGGGATTGGCTGCGGCCCGTTGCAGCACCAATTCGGCTAGGGAGACGGAAGGCAAATGCTTGCCGTGTTCCTCCTGAATCCGCGATTCAAGCCAACACAAAAAAATGGTCAAAAAGCATGCCATAATTATTATTAATAATATATAATAATTATTTAATAATTAGTATCAGTAATATATTATGATGATTTAGGATAGAGATATATAGAGATGCAGTTTTGAAAACCATCTGTGGAGTCCTGACGATTTCACATTCCAAATCATTCCAAATACATAGTGTGATATAGATTGATATAGTATATATCATGTCTATATCATGTCCTACTAATATTATATTTGATATGGCTTGGATATGTAATTAATATTCCAAATATCATATAATTAGTCTACTCCCTAGTCTTGGATCTGCCTGAAAGGACACACGAAAAGGGATACCCCTCTCGAAAGGATGCAGTTGCATCAGTTGCCATAAGTCAAGGCTTAGAATGCTTAAACGCATATCACTAAATATCCAACATTATCCAAAAAAAAACTGGCAGTGTGTCAAAACCAATAGTACCCCTTCTGTTCACATCAAAATAGCTGGGTTAAAATGGATGTTCATTCCCCATCCAAAATGCTATGTTTATAGGTATTGATCCATAAAAAACTCATGATTTTCTGATCAGCTTGGATTCCCAGTCCTGCCACGGGCTGATGGCTCGTGTAAGCTGCAAGTCCTTGACATCGATGAAGGGGATCTGGGTCACATTCTGCTCTGGGTCAGAGACAATTTTCTCCAGAAGACGTTGGTATTGGGACTGGAGTCTCAAGACCGTCTCCCGAGAATATGATGCAAAGCTGTACTGAAAGTTGCCAATGAGTTGCTGAGAAGGTGAGAATGCCATCATCAAGGCCAGGTCAAATTGAGCATGTTGTTGGCCAATAGCCATGGATTCGAGTTGAAGTTCGGATCCCAAAGGCAACTCGGAACCTTCATGACCCATCAGAAATGATGGCAACTCCTGTCCCAATTCAGGACATGTCTGGAAAACGAACATGGCTTGCAAGATGTGCCTCTGCTCCAAATTCAGTTCCTCACAAACTTCGTTCAAGGGCACGCGTTGAAAGCGTAAGGCATTTTGGACTTCACCATAGACCTGTTGAAGCAATGCATCAAAGCTACCGGACACGTGAGCCCGGATGCACAAAGGTGTTACAAAGTAACCCACCATTTCTTCGGACTCAGCTGTTGTTCGACATGCGAAGGGTGTGCCAACACAAACGTCTTCAGCATCTTCTTCCGCATAACGGGATAGCAACACCATCCATGCTGCCAGCAGTGTTGCATGAATGGACGCACCAAATCTCGAACTCAAGGCACAGAGTCTCTCCGAAAGATCCCGGCTGAGTTCAAAATCCACTTTACTCCCTGTGAAATTCAAATCGCTGGAGACTTCATTTCTCAATTCTCGCTGTGCTCCAGGTAATGTCAATGCTGGTGGGGGTGGTTGTAACTTTTGCCGCCAGAAATCCATGGCATTTTTCCAGTCCCTGGACCTTCGATGGGTCGTTCTCTCCTGCCGCGCGTAGTCGCGATACTGCGGGGCTTCCGATGGCCAGTCCACGGAGGAAGCAACGCTGGGGGCGCCGCTTCGGAGCTGGTCATAGGCCAGTCCAAGATCACGGAGAAGAACCGTGTAACCTGGGCGCAAAAAAAACAACGTAGAATGCTCGTAGAATGCTGGTAGCACATGATCACGTGAGTATCACATGATTATCACATGATTATCACAATTTATCAATGGTAAAATCTATGGTAAAATCATCTAAAATGTCACATGATTCAATGGTAAAATATGGTAATTTCAATGGTAAAATCTATGGTAAAATCATCTAAAATGTCACATGATTCAATGGTAAAATATCGTAATTTCAATGGTAAAATCTATGGTAAAATCATCTGAAATGTCACATGATTCAATGGTAAAATATCGTAATTTCAATGGTAAAATCTATGGTAAAATCATCTGAAATGTCACATGATTCAATGGTAAAATATGGTAATTTCAATGGTAAAATCTATGGTAAAATCATCTAAAATGTCACATGATTCAATGGTAAAATATGGTAATTTCAATGGTAAAATCTATGGTAAAATCATCTAAAATGTCACATGATTCAATGGTAAAATATGGTAATTTCAATGGTAAAATCTATGGTAAAATCATCTAAAATGTCACATGATTCAATGGTAAAATATGGTAATTTCAATGGTAAAATCTATGGTAAAATCATCTAAAATGTCACATGATTCAATGGTAAAATATGGTAATTTCAATGGTAAAATCTATGGTAAAATCATCCAAAATGTCACATGATTCAATGGTAAAATATGGTAATTTCAATGGTAAAATCTATGGTAAAATCATCTAAAATGTCACATGATTCAATGGTAAAATCCGCCGACCCCTGCCGACAGCAGGGGGAGCGCGTCAGAGGAGGAATTACCAGCAGCAAGGGCCAAGAAGTCATTACAAGCAGCAAGGGCAAGAAGCAAGAAAACATGAAAGAAGAAGCAAGAAGCAAGAAACAATTACAGGCAACAAGCGGCAAGAAGCAAGAAACAAGAAGCCAGGAAGCAACAAGCGGCTGGAAGACAGGTCAGAGAAGTCATTACAAACAGCAAGGGCAAGAAGGAAGAAAACAAGAAAGAAGAAGCAAGAAGCAAGAAGCAATTACAGGCAACAAGCGGCAAGAAGCAAGAAACAAGAAGCCAGGAAGCAACAAGCGGCTGGAAGACAGGTCAGAGAAGCAAGAAACAACAAGCCAGGAAGCAACAAGCGGCTGGAAGACAGGTCAGGGAAGCAAGAAACAAGAAGCCAGGAAGCAACAAGCGGCTGGAAGACAGGTCAGAGAGCTAGTTTTCTTGTCGATTCAGAAAGCAACGTTAGGCAGGCGGCTGGAAGACAGGTCAGAGAAGCAAGAAACAAGAAGCCAGGAAGAAACAAGCGGCTGGAAGACAGGTCAGAGAGCTAGTTTTCTTGTCGATTCAGAAAGCAACGTTAGGCAGGCGGCTGGAAGACAGCTCAGAGAGCTAGTTTTCTTGTAGGTTGAGAAAGCAACGTTAGGCAGTGGGAGCCGTTGCCCGGAGGCTCGGTCCGTCCTTCAGGGCCCTGCTGTTTTGCTGTGGCGGAGGCGCCGTTTGTGAGCCTTGACGGCTGGAAGAGAGCTAGTTTTGGAGCCGTTGCCCGGAGGCTCGGTCCGTCCTTCAGGGCGCTGCTGTTTTGCTGTGGCGAGGGCGCCGTTTGTGAGCCTTGACGGCTGGAAGAGAGCTAGTTTTCTTGTAGGTTCAGAAAGCAACGTTAGGCACTGGGAGCCGTTGCCCGGAGGCTCGGTCAGTCCTTCAGGGCCCTGCTGTTTTGCTGTGGCGGAGGCGCCGTTTGTGAGCCTTGACGGCTGGAAGAGAGCTAGTTTGGGAGCCGTTGCCCGGAGGCTCGGTCCGTCCTTCAGGGGCCTGCTGTTTTGCTGTGGCGAGGGCGCCGTTTGTGAGCCTTGACGGCTGGAAGAGAGCTAGTTTTCTTGTAGGTTCAGAAAGCAACGTTAGGCAGTGGGAGCCGTTGCCCGGAGGCTCGGTCCGTCCTTCAGGGCCCTGCTGTTTGGGCGTGGCGGAGGCGCCGGTTGTGAGCCTTGACGGCTGGAAGAGAGCTAGTTTGGGAGCCGTTGCCCGGAGGCTCGGTC